CCCACATCTCATTTATTTTTGCCTATATGCATTAATATTGTTAGTGCACTCCAAGAATTTGAAAATGATTTTATATTACAAGATTGTTTTTTCAATGAAAAAAAAAATGGTTATCGTATTTTAAAAATATACCACTCATTTATCTTGTTGCATATGTATTTGATCCTAGATGTAAAATTGAAGTTTTATCTGAATATTTGACTATTTATTATGAATTATTAAATCTTGAAATAGAAGATAGTGTTAATATAAATGATATAAATGCAGTATTGCATTAAGTTAAACATAATATTGTAGAATTATACAGTGAATTTGTTCAATTTTCTAGTTCATCTACTTCTAATTCTCAATTCAATAATCAACAAGTTCCAACTCAAAGGGTAAGTGTTGGTGTTGCTGAACGCATTTTACTACAAAGACAAAAAACACCAAGGAAATTCGGTTCTTTTTCTGAATTTGGGTTCTTTTTCTGAATTTGATAATTATCTAACCACTTCTTTCGAGTTTGGTGATGATTATGCAGATAATAATTTTCCAATTTTAGATTGGTGGAGTCGTAACGCAAATACATTTCCAATACTTTCTTTAATTGCAAAACAAGTTTTAACAGCTCTGGTCTCCATTGTTGCGGTTAAAGAAGCTTTTAGTCAAGGAGGAAACATACTTGATGAAACATAATCTCGTACAACACCTAATTTACTAGAAGCACAATCATGAGTGGATGATTGGAGCAAGGCCGAAATAAGAGCACAAGAAAATCTCAAAGAAAATGAAGATTTATATGATCTTTACAATGAGTCATCAACGGGAACATCAACCGGTGATGGAAATAGCGAATAAGGTAAAAAGGGTGTTGAAATGGTACAATGTAAGTAAGACACTAGCATGGCTTTGATTCCTGCTAAAACCCCAAAAGGGATACAGGTAAGCAGCTTAATTTTTTTTAAAAAAATTAAGTAAGTTCAAGCCCTTTTTTTTTTTTTAAAAAAAAATTAAGTTCCAACTTTTTTTTTGAAAAAAATATGATTCCTCTAAACCCCAAAAGGATACGTAAGCAGCTTAATTTTTTTTAAAAAAATTAAGTTCAAGCCCTTTTTTTTTTAAAAAAAAATTAAGTTCCAACTTTTTTTTGAAAAAAATAAATTTAGTTGAAGACTTTTTTAAAAAAAAAAATTAAGTTCAAGTCTTTAAAAAAAATAAATTTAATTCAAGCATTTTTTAATTTTTTAAGTGTATTTTTCTTTAGAAATTATTTCACAAATTTTTAAATTTTTAAATTTTGAAAACCGGTCTTCAGAATTTGAAATTTAAAATTTAAAATTATGCGACTCATTGGAAAACCGGTTGAAGAACCGGCCAGAACCGTCAATTTTGGAACCGTTAAAAAATCGAAATCGAAAATTTTTGGTTCGATTCCGGAACCGTGGCCATGCCTAATCTTAATGTATGTGATAGTTAAACTATAAAACCGAATACATCATTTGCCCCTGAACTTGCACAAAAAAGTCTTGTGACTTTCTTTACTTTCAAAGTGACTTTGGGGCACTTTAAGTTGTAAAATTATTAACATTACACCTTTATTAATCCAGTCAGCAACACGTGAAAAGCCAATTTTTTTCCTGCGCATGAACTTCTACAAATAGTCCTAGATGGCATTGTAAATCATTAAGAAGATAATTTTTTATTACTAACTAAATTAGAATATTATTAAACCTATTTTTTTCTCTCTCATCCTATTTTCTTCTTGCAAATTCACTCTAAATTTGGATTCCCTGACTAAACCAATCTCATCTCACTGTGGTGGCTGGAGTTGATGAGAGCAGTCGCTGGTGAAGTTATTAGGGACAGTGGAAGGGTATAATAGGTCGACCGTTGACTGGTCTCGCCGCCTTGTGGTCGGTCTTGCCGGAGAAACAGAAAAGTAATGTTGAAAGAGAAAGAGAGAGAGAGACCAAAAGAGAACGAAAGAGACTGCGAGATTGCGACTTGCCCTCTACTGTGCTCACCAGAAGAGAAAGAGAGAGACCGGAGATGCAGTGAGCGATGGAGGAACGATGATAAAAAGCTCTAGTCGGTGCGACTTGAGCTCAAGTCACCGGAAACGCCAAAAGAAAGGAGAAAGAGGGTTGTCTCGATCGACAAGCCCCTCTGTCTCTCTCATTACCGCTGCTTGAACAAGAACAAAGGCAGGAAGCACTGGCCAGGGGTGCTGCCAGTGATGTGAGGTGGTCAAATCAGTGGAGCTTTGAGCTCTGGTGAACGAAAAACAAAGGGGATAGGGGAGGGGACTGTGGTGCGATGAGAAAGGGGGAGAAGGGATTTTGGGTTAGTTGCTGATTTGGTTTGATTTAGGTTTGATTTGGACCAATTCATGAATTTTTTGTTGCATATCCAACGTGGCAAAATTAATTATGACTTGAAATTGTAATTTTCCACTTTATCTGCACATGTTGCGTACAACCAATTTACTACTCTGATTAGGTGTTTAATTGTTATAAAAAATAAACTTTAAGGTGCCACAAGGTCACTTTTAGGGTACCACAAGGTAACTTTTAGGGTGCCAAAAGGTCATTTTGAAAGTAGAGGAGGCCACAAGACTTTTTTGTATAAGTTCAAGCGGCAAATGATGTATTTGGCTTAAACTACAGTTATTATTATTATATGGAGCCATGCTTATCATGAGCTTGTAGTATTTGATGGATGAAAATGAAATAAGACAGTAATTTAGAACTAATGAAAAAATTATGGGAGGAAGAGAGTATTTGCAAAGCACTAGACCAATTTAGCTCATTAATCTCAGTTTTAATTTCGTTGTAAACTAATAGCGATAATTACAAGTTATAGTTACCTAAAGTAACCTTCTTTATCCGGATAAACTCCAATAATCATCATTATTAAAAAAAATAAGTAAAAACTTACTTGCTGTGACTTAGCTGGCAACGTATGATGAATATATGGAAAGAACTCTCAGGTCGATCGCCACTAAACACATCAATAGGAAGTAAGGAACCTTAACTGTGATTCAATCTTGAGCCGGATTAAATAAATAAAAAAAAATAAGTAAAAAGTAAATAATTATCGAAAACAATTAAGTAAAAATAATGACATTGATTACATTATCTTAACATGCGTGAAAGTCAAAACTATACTTGTTTTTATTATAGAGGCGAGGGAGTCGTATGTGCCGGTAAGGAAAAGTGGAAATTTTGTGGAATTCGGTTTTGACAAGCAATTGGTGGCTTCATGGGGTGTTAAAATCAAAACTTGATGACAAAAAATTATATTCGGAAAATTACAACACTGTCCTATGATTTTAAAAATGTACCAATTTACTTTGTTTTTTCTTTCGTTACACTATTAGATCCTAAATCACAGGGACTGTCACTCTATGGATGCTGAGGAGACTCACAGTCTGTCTTGGAAGACAGTATAATCGGAAGAGAGAAATATGACTAAAAATAATGCACTGTAAAAAAATTTTTTCTAAAATATTTTGATTTTAAAATAAATGACAGAAAAATAATGTAATTTTTTTTGAGAAATTTAGGGAAAATTTTCGTTAACATAACCAGCAGATCCATTGCAAGTGAAGCAATTGCATAAATTCCATATCCGTTTAGCATTAAAAGATTCATCACATGTAAAAATGAACAATTTTCTTTTCGTTAGTAAAAGTAAATGCACCTGTACCACCAGACTGATTCAATTACATTAAATGTATTAAGAAAATTTATAATTACTTTGCACAAACTCTGTTCATCAATGTAAGAGGATTCATCAAAATGTAGAAAATGTGAAATTTTTTTTTAGCATAGCTAATGCAACTCAATCCTCAGTATAGGCAGATTCAGTTATTCACTTTTAATAGATTAAAAAAATTATTCATTTTTTTCCATAGTAAATAAAACCATTTTAATGTTAAATCGATAAAGGTTAATGATTTTGACTCATCTCGACTCTTGAACTTGACTCCTTAGAAGTAAAATTACTTTAGTATTCTTAAAACAATGAGTGTAACATTATCCTTTTACCCTTAATTTATAAAAAAGAGAAAATAAGACGATGAACTTGAATTTTAAAAATGTTATATCTCTTGAATTTTTTTGACTAAAACCTCAAGGAAGCATTAATATTTTTAATCAAAAAATTGAATGTTAAGCAACTGAAAGCGATGCACTTGATTAAAATTTAAAAAAAAAAAAAAAAAAAAAAAAAGTTAAAGCACTGAAAGCGATGCACTGGGTGATTAAAATTAAAAATAAAAAAAAAAAAAAAAAAAAAAAAAAAGGGGGGAAAATGCTTAAAAAAAAAAAAAAAAAAAAAAAAAAGGGGGGAAATGCTTACGATCCAACAATTACAGAGTAATAGTAGCATGATCAAGCGATTCGCAAAAAGGGTGGGCAGCTCAAAAGCAAAATACCATAAACCAATAAACATGACCAATAGTAATCATCACCACGAGGATCAGTTAGAGAGCAACTCTAATAAACATGGCTATTAGTTATCAATGCTAATGCTCGTTGATGTATTGTTGATTCATGAAGTGCTGATTCCTTTTATTCTACGCTCACCAACCTTAAATCATCTCCGAAATTGGAATGAACTCTTGAAAAAAAACGTAAACCAAGGGAATACAAGGCGCATGCCACCGACGGAGATGAGAGATAGTAGAGCAAGGATATAAACGGAGGACATGTCCGAACAGCTATTGAAGGACATATGAGCCATTGTAGGCAACAAGGAGTGTTAAACTAACATAAGCGTGCTGTTAAAAAATTATATAATATTTCCATATCAAAATTATTATTTTCCATTGAATTAATGATATATTCAACAAATGCTAATGTTTAATCAGTAAGAAAAGCAATCCGACCAAGTTTATAAAACTAACATAAGTTCCTGAATCTAGCAAAATCAAACAGAGACACACAAGCACATTTTTTAGTTGAAAATAAAAAAGCCTTTCAAGCTCACCAAAAAATTGTGGGATGTACACATGATTCAAAGTAAAGTGCCTAAAGATGGATTGGAAGCTATTCCAAACAATGCAAGAAAAATAAGAAATCCAGTATATCAGCAAGGCATGAAGAAACCGATTTTCTGTCCCTTCTGATGTTTGTCAATTTCAAGATCTTTTCACAAACTTTGTATAGGCATACCATCTGAGACTACTATCATCGCCCAAAATTATAAATTTCATTATATACATAAACTCACTAAATGCAGCTCCAAGTCGTATTTCACAAAATGAATGCAATCCAATATGAAACCGACATCAAATTGTTAAACACTCAAGGTCAGCGATTTGTCAGGTGCCCATTCTTGTCAAGTGATAGTATACTTGCATCGCCCCTTTTATCAAACTTCTCAGAGTAATGCCCATTGGAAACTATAGCTGGCAAGCTATATTTCACAGACACGGAAACGACATTAAAATATAATTTTACACAGAAAAAATGGTACAAGGAAACGGGCACGCAAAAACATCCATTGCTAGAAGTTTCCGTGCATCATAGCTGGCAAGCAATCAATTAGCATTTGTTGCAGACAAAAGAAAAATTGCTTGAGGATAAGGATGCTCTTCACATCTCAATCATGCCTCTCTCCTGGAAAGAACAAATAGAGAGCCAGCGTCATACAAGCAATCCAACTCAAGAACCTTTCAAAATTATCTCATCCTTACAAATATTCTGAGAACAATGTAATCATACATTCTAAACCAACGTTGATTAGAAACTTACAAGTCCCTTGCTGAAATAGGAATCAAAAGTTCCATGTAGTTTAAACTAATGATAAGTATTAAGGTACCATTTCTACTCAACATAGCACCTTAACCAGAAACTAGTTTTGATCAGCTACATAAAACCTTTTTTTTACAAGGGGAAAATAATTTTTCACTTTATCCATGAAAAATTCAAAGAAAAAATTGTATGAATTTCATAATCAAACAAAAACAAACATGTACTTAGGTTTCAATTAAATTAGGCAAAACAAATGGCCACTTCTCTAGACGTGAAAAGGAAATGCAGAAAACTAAACTCAATAGTTAAAGATGCTTCCAATTTTCAATTCAATTTCGAATTACTCTGGTTTCTATTATACCTTGGCGCATGATGTTTGCAGATGCCATCATTTTAATTGACAGAGAGCACAAGCTGCGGTCAACAAAAGTTAGAACTTCAGAGTTCAGAGCACTTTGGGAAAAATTTAAAAAAGAGAGAGAGAGAGAGAGAGAGAGAGGAATATGCATTGCAAATTTAGTAACAAGAGGGGTACGAGTCAATCTGAAGTTGCCCAGACAGAGTGTAGTGCCTCAAAGATATATTTTATATATCTAGGTTCTACTGTTCAAAGAAATGGAGGAAGCAAGATGGGTGTTGACCATCGGATTAAAGTGGATTGAATGAAGTGCAGTATTGTTACTGGAGTGTCATGTAACTGCAAAATATCAACATGTATTAAGGGTAAGTCTTACAGAACTGTGATTCAGTCGGGGTTAATGTATGACTGAGTGTTGGATAGTAAAGAAACAACATACACAAAAGATGATTGCTGTAGAAGCAACGATGTTATGATAGAAGTGTGATCATATGAGAGGTTGGACCAAATTCCAGATTAGTATATTCATGGGAAGTGATAATGGCATCTATTATACCAAATTTGAAAATAAAGTTAGGGGACTAGAAAAACTAATTCTCGAAAAGTATATTTTAAATTGGATAAACAGAAAAACCATAAAATAAAATCCTTTTCGTATTGATAAATACATCCTTAACTATTCCTTATTTTCCTGAAAAATGTTTCCAGTAACTGGGGAAAAAAAAAATTGTATGCAAGCACATCCAGAACTTTTCAAGAGTAATGGCAAATTGAGTATCAAACACATCTTTCTTTATGCCATTCAACTCTAGTTAAGTCCAAGAAAACATTATATTGGCGTGCTGCAATGATGCATCATTGGTATCATGTCCATTAAGGGGTCATAAATTTGCAAGTTTTTCAGGAAAAAGTAGAGAAAATTAAAACAGAGGCATTATATTTTAATATCAGTAAATGTACATGATGTCAAAGAAGGTAGGGATGGGAACTCAGATAACATGTTATCAATGATAAGCACGTACATAACTTATACATTCAGGTGCCATTGAGTTATCCCTTATTATGACAATGCGGGTATCTCATTTCTTACTATGAAAATATAATTATGCCTGAAAGTGATATCACGAAACACAACTCTCACAATTCTTCACAGAAGCAGGATGCAAATATTAAAGGGTTTGGAGGAGAGCTACAATATTCATCTCAACATACATAACCAATGTACAGTGCATTAAATTTGACGAATGAAACTAGAGAAAAAGTAATTTTAGTGGTCAGTCATCAGTTATTCTTCCCTAAAAAAATAGGATAGTTAAAGGAGGAGAAAGAAAGCAAAAGAGAAGGCATCCAAGGTATTCCACAAATAAAGAGACTTTACCAGCCAAGGAACCAAATTCTGCTGAAGCTTTAAAAGCTTCTTAATGTGTAACTGCATTTCTGCATACTAGTCATTCCCCAGGAAAGGCTAGAAATCCATTGAAATCAGTTCATCAACTCCACATTGTCTAATGCTAATAACCATTGATTCATTAAATGAGGGATAAATGTCACAACATTGTCGACGGAGAACCTTCATCTGAAACAAAGGTGAAATGACGTTGAAAAGGTGACAGAGAGAAATATCTAAAAGATCAAACTCAAGATGAGAAACTAGCAAATTTTTATTTGAAGTCAGGATTGCCAAGCCAATTAAGTTAATACCTGTTCAATATCAGGTTCTAGCATGTGGGAAAACACTTTGACACGTTTCAGATTCTTAATGGCTTCAGCTCTAGAGCAATCCCCAGAACCGTGTCTGGTGTAAGTGCTCCAAACACCAGCATCACCAGATGTAACACTTTCCATAAAGAAGACAAGAGGTCTTTTACACTGATCCCTAGGATATTCTCTCATATTAAACATGTAAAGACTATTGTCAGAATTTGCTGCTCTCCTCCATGGTCTAAAGGTCCTCTGAAGAGAAAGAAGATCTGGAAGAAGTTCATTTCCTTCAAACACCTGAATAGAATAGCCCCATGCAACTGAAACAGTCAATCTACTCGTAGAGTCATAGCAAACTGTTTGCTGTAAAATCCTGGTAGGATCAACATTAGCAGCTTCAAAAAGGTGTTCTGCAGCTAGAGCCTTGCTCATACTAGGGAAGAGCGGGTCTACAGCATCTAAATGATGAAGGGATACCAAAGGTGACAATGGATGGGCAGAAAGCATGCCAAACAAATTCCCCCGCATATCCACCTGGTAGACATCAATTAAATTTAAAAATCCCCTTCACAGTCACAATTCCATCTCCCAAAATCCAAGAAACCTATAGTGTATATGACAAGAAAACAAACTCAACTTCATAAACCAGGAACAAAGACAAGGCTAAAATGAAAGCATCATCTTATAATAATGTTAACCATGTCATTTAGCTCAATAAAAATGTGAAGAAGATCAGCTATTCAAGCTCACAACCTCAAATCCTAAAATCAAATCTGTAGGACAATACTACTAGTAAATCATTTGCAAAAAAGTGAGCTAGCACATTCAAAAAAAAAAAAAGTAGTTGCTAACAAAGCAGTAACACTTCACCTCCATGTTTCTCCTTCCTAAAATTTCACTTTGCCAGAATCAGACTTGAAAAAATCTAACCCTCTTAAATTTATTGAACCGAAAATCAGGAACAAAATAGAGAGAAATTGATTTAGTCAGACAACTGGTTTTGTATCATCAAACATTGATTACCAACTCAACCAAATATTTCCTTAAGTATCCATCAAAGGATTCAATTCAACATATAGCAAAGAAGCATAATCAAATAGATGAAAGACCAAACCGTACCTGATGGAATCCAGGTTCATGAGTCAACCCAACACCCAACTCTGCCAAGCAAGAGAAAATCCTAGCATCACTGCCGTACAAATGGGCATAACGTACCAAACACGAATCCATAACCCTAGCCAAAACCCTACCCAGTGAATAACTTATTGCAAAACCTCCGCCACCAAAAGCCATATCGAATGAGTACCTCACATTCTGCACATAACTCTCTGAATTGCTCCCTATATAATACCACTGATCATGGTCATACTTGGACAGAGTTTTTACCAGATTTTCCACGAGAAAAACCGTGTCATCGTCTCCAAACACAAACCACCGCACATCCGGTTGATCGAGGTCAACCGCCTCTTTCACCAAACGAGCAACCCGAATCGCCGACCTCAAGCCACCCTTGTAGCTGTAGGGGAAGCGAGAAGTGTCTTTGGACAGGATCACTGGAGGAAGAGTGGGATCATTGGAGATGGATGAGTTCACGTCAAGGAATGCAAATGCCCGAGTAGAGCTGCGGTTGTACCAGAGGCGAAGGTAGGACGCGCGGCGAGGGAAAGAGGAAGCGGAGGAGGCAATGGAGAAGAGAAGATGGCGGCGGCTGATCTGACCATGGGTTGAACCTGTAAAGGCGGCGCGTGAATCTGAAGCTGGTGGCGGTGGAGCGCGAAAGAGAAGGTGAAGGATTAAGAGGAGGGAGATTGCTAAGAGAACATCTTTGAACCGCGAAGGGCGGAGTGTTAGGGATTTGGTGGTGGTTGCGGTCGTTGTCGTGGTGGTGGGTGGCATTTTAGGAGAGAGAGAAGTTGAGATGACGGGGCTCTTGGGAACGCGACTGTAAAGTAAGGATAATGGTTTATTTTTCCTGTGTGCGAACATCTTATTTACAGCTCAAAGGGTGACGCTTCTGGGTAGACGAATCAGTGCAACTTGCAAGTGGAAAATCGCCAGAGAAATGTTTTTCTTTCAAAGAAGTTTATCTTCAGTTCTAAAATTTTTTATTTAATGCAAGAAAAGATTTTCTTTTGTTTTAAAGGAGCTTGTAGGTCGTATATGTACAACGTACTAAGGAGATTCTAGGTTTAATCGGGGAGGAAATCAAGGGTAGACGAAAATGTCAAAATGATGATTGTATTGCAAGAGTTAGTTTGAGTTTATAAATGCATGGCGTAGGATGGGGATTTTAAGGAGACAAAACCATATTTAATTCTTGAATTTATTGATTTATCCAACTTTGTCATGAAATTAATAGATGTCCATATAAATGGTAGAAGTCTATTTCCATAAATTATACATCGTGTTCTATTTAGAGTAAACATAAAATGTATAGGTATTAAGTGGTAGTTAAATTGAATATTCTTTTCATTTTTTACTTAATAAGTTAGTATAACCTAATTTGCATTGATTGCTCTATTAAGTGTGATGGAGCCAACTCACAGAAAGAGAGTTGCAAAAGTACATTTATTTAATAATTAATGACCAAAATTGAGGGAATATTTAAGGATATGTTAATTGTTTCAAGAACTCAAAATTTTCAAATTTGATTTTGTCACGACCCGTTTTCATGGGCAGTACCGGCATTAGGGTCCAGGTAAGCTTAAGGCTCTGAGGCATGTAATAAGCCCAAACTACAAAATTCAACTGTATCAATATGAATTTCAAATTATCAGCCCATATTACCATACATAATAAATTTCATAATTATATTATACTTCGGCCTGAATCTAGCAACTTAAACGTTTTATAACTCAGGCCAATCATAATACGAATCATTCAGAATATGGGCTAACTGGTTCATGTATTCTCATAAATAAATACCTAGATATTCATCTATGCTTATCGGATACAATCTTACAACTGTGGAGTTCAATATCAAACAGTAATAAATAAGTTCTTGTACATAATGCTCACAATTTAAATAATTACTGGAATTAGGAAATTACTTTTCTAGCTCTGTCTAGCTCTGCGGTGAAGGAAACAGAGCTTTAGTCGGAACAAAGAAAAATCTACTTCTTGGAAAAGTTAAATAAAGAAATGAGTTTTATAATGAATAATAAATATTGCATAACACAAGCATTCACACGAAATGCTTTCTAAAATACTAGAATGAATACATAACCAGTCAAGCATATGGCACAACATTGACACTCACAAGTAATTACACTTTCAAATAATCAAACAAGTGAAAATTGGTTAGTGGCGTCACCAAAACCCCCGATGAGTCATCCTCACACATGGCCCATCCTCTCATGACGTGTGCACTAGGGAGCTGATCCCCATACATGGCCGACATACCATGCCGATCGATCTATCCTCAGTGTTGACCAGCACTTTCCTATCTGTTATACCCTCTTTTCTTTTTCCATACCAACAGTGAGGCCACCCTGTAGTATTCCATATAATTCATATCATCAGATGCATATGGGGCGCCGATCTCTTCCACACTGGGATCTTCCCAGTCCGACGGTATCGGAAGGACTGCCCTCACAAACCCATTGGTGACCCACTTCATCCCAATTCACACAAACAAGGCTTCATCCCAATTCCACACAAACAAGGCATAGTAATACCACAGCACAAATAATTAAACATTGCATTTAAAATGCAGCACATTATATGAATAAAGATCATGCAAATATACAAATATACACATAAATACGAATAAGTAGAAAAGCAATAAGCGTCTATGTAACAAATTAAATAAGTAATAAATGAAGCAAATAGTAATGCATTATCTATTATTATCACAGTAATAGAGGAGAAAGGAAGCTCTAGTTTAGATTAGACAGAAGACTTTATTTAAATAGAGAATTCGAAGATTTTATTTCCTAATAATCTTATCAGCAACTATTGGCTATAACTAATCTAAATTCTATCGAAATTTCGGCAGCGCCTCCTTTAAAATTTGTACTATCCACCTGATAAAAATAATGTCAAATACTCGCTATATAATTAGTCAACCCACATAGCCCAATCCGCCGGGCAATCAACCAAGATATATAACAAATCCACGTAACCCAAGGCGTGGAGCCCGGATCGTGACAACCTGCAGTACCTCAGAACCACTTTTTACGTTTGTTGCCTCTCGACAACTCCAACCCATACAATGAGCAGCTTATCAAAGAGCATACACTCAGGGGCCTCAGCCCTGTAAATGATAGGATAACCTGGGGGCAAGAGCCTGTGTTTCGTCACAGTGTCTCACAGTGAGAACCCCCCATGGAACGGGACACCTGTCTTTGCCATCCTGCGGCAGAGGCGACAGTAAATCCAATGGCTCTGATACCAACAAAAGGTGTGCACATACACGACCAGTGTTAATCCGGCTCCCTATTACGGGGGTGCCCATACACCAGGATCGTGACAACCTGCAGTACCTCAGAACCACTTTTTACGGCTTATTCGATGATTTGTTGCCTCGTGACAACGCCAACCTACCCCATTCAAGGGCTGACCGGCTGCACTAAGTGACGTCCCGCACTCGAAGTCGGGCCCTAGGCCACAGAGCCGCTTTGGTCGAATAGGATAACCTGGGGGCAAGAGCCAGTGCTTCGTCACAGTGTCACACTGTGAGAACCCCCCATGGAACGGGCCCGAAATTGCCCTAGTGGCTCTGATACCAACAAACACCATTAAGATCGCCCGATACTAAACATTTAAATATCAAACAAGGAAATTATTTATATTATCCAAATTTAAATCATATATAGTTGTTAAAATTGTATTATTATTAAGATCTATAAAAATCTCAGTACCTTTGGACCAGTAGCCCGCACTTCTGGGTTTCCAGCCTATATACCAATACTTAAACAAGTACTGTTTAGATTCTTTTTAAGAAATAGTTACTATTTATCGTTTTAGTATAAACAAACAAGTACTGTTTAAATTAAACAAACAATACAAATTTCTGATGTGGAAGATCAGATTGAGCTGCATCCACAGAGCATACTTATTTTAAACAAGTAATTTTAAGCAACAATCAAATCGCAAGAACAATTTTAATTGGTTTAGGGTTCTTGCAACCTTAGCCTGGGATCCCCAGAACTAAGTCAGAGTGTGGAGGGAATGTGTGAGGGAGAAGAGAAAAGATTGCCTTCAACCAGCGGCATTTAAAGAAGTAGACAGTTTACAAACAAAAATATAAAATTTATTTTAATGTACAAAGAGTTAAATTTGATTACCAAAAATTGAAGACATATAACAAAATTTAAAAGATTAGACTTACAAAGCTTTTAAAGAATCTCTAACCTTGAATCCTTACAATGAAAATGTATGGCCTATCTTACCACACAAAAAACATACTATAGTTTTATAGTCAAGTTTATTGATTTTAGGATTGGCTGTTTGACTATTAGAGGTTTGAGGAATGTTCATAGCTACTGGTTGAGTAGTGTTAGATTGAACCTCAAGTTTACTTAGTGAATCTTTTAATAGACGAACTAATTCATTTTTAGACTTAGATTTACAGATTATCTCTTTAAAATCAGGTTTTTTAGTTCTTTTACGACTTGACTTTAAACGTTTATTATCTTTATTATCTTTAATTAATGTATACCAATCAAAGAATGATATACCAGTATGATTTTTTAATCTATAATTGAAATATTCTTTATGATCTTATTTAATTTTATTAAATTTAAAGGTTGTGTAATTTCTTTTATAAATGAAATATTCTTCTTTTAATTCATCAATTTTATGTGATTTTATGATCTCATTTAATTTTATTAAATTTAAAGGTTGTGTAATTTCTTTTATAAAATCTGTTTTAATTTCTTCGTGTTTAAGAAATTTTAATGATGTTTTAATATGTTCTTTTTTCATTTTAGAAATATGTTTTTTATTCATTGGAAAATGTTTTTCATCATCAATAGCTTTACCAGTATTTTGAAAATTTAATTCATTTTTATGAATTATCCTATTAGTATCTGTAGAAACATTCATTTTATTATTACTAGTAGAATTATATAACAAAGGATGTATATAACCCAAAGGTATTCATTTTTATGCTACCATTTATGCTACCAAATAAGCCGCGGTCAGTGCCTTAATACTTTAAGTTGCGGTCCTAGCTTGATATACCCTGATCCTTATTGCCGATTATACCCTTAAAACGCCTATCACATCGGCTAACAACGGGTTCACAAATGACATATAGGATGGTACAAAATTGCCGACCCAAAACTTAAAAGTTCAAACGGCAGCCGACCCAAAACTTAAAAGTTCAAACGGCATACCCAACACTTAATTGGATACATTCAAATGGATTTACTTTATTATATCATTGAACTAATAATGTTTAAAACAAACACTACAGAACACAAATGGATAATTTAATTAGTAATGATGTTTACATAAACTGCTAAGATGATGATTTACACTTTTTAGATCGCCCTGGGTATATTATGGGTATATTAGCAAGCAAGCCCATATAATAGGCCCAAATGGTCTCAATAGTATTTTGAAATTTTAATTCATTTTTATGAATTATCCTATTAGTATCTGTAGAAACATTCATTTTATTATTACTAGTAGAATTATATAACAAAGGATCCATTTTATGCGACCAAATAAGCTGCGGTCAGTGCCTTTATACTTTAAGTTGCGGTCTTAGCTTGATATACCCTGATCCTTGCTGATTATACCCTTAAAACGCCTATCACATCGGCTAACAACGGGTTCACAAATGGCATATAGGATGGTACAAAATGGCCGACCCAAAACTTAAAAGTTCAACCAGCATACCCAACACTTAATTGGATACATTCAAATGGATTTACTTTATTATATCATTGAACTAATAATGTTTAAAACAAATACTACAGAACACAAATGGATAATTTAATTAATACTACAGAACACAAATGGATTAATTTAATTTAGTAATGATGCTTTTAATAAACTGCCTAAGATTTGATGATGGAACACTATTTAAGATCGTTTGGCTTGATACCCAATTTTTGCGCGAAGCAATAAGAAAAATACTATGATTTAAGGAATTTATATGAACACCTTATTCTAATTGCAATTTCTTGCGGAAAGTAAAGTAAGAAAAATACTATGATTAATGGAAATTTATATGAAACACTTATCAATGGTTTTACCTCAGAATCACA